ATAAAGTAATAAAACTGAATTTGAATCGCAGTGATGTTTATTCTTAAATAAATACAAAATTTTGTATTCAAAGCAGTTTTTCGTAACTAAAGCCTCTCTACGAATGTCATATTAAATATATTTAATGTAAAATTTTTGGATATTTCTAGTTTGTTTTCAAAAAGTTATTGATGTCGTTTTACTCATTAGGTATCATTAGGTAAAGTACTTTCGATATCAGTCTAAAGGATTTTTGATATCATATTAACGGAATAATCGCCTGGACACAAAACATAGAGATTTACGAAATTAATTATTAAATGTATATTTCGAAACCGTACTATATAATGCTTGTAAGTTCGAGGCAATGGTTTTACTGTATACGGTGCATACGGTGTTTGTGAATAAATATACAAAATGCGTAGTATGTTTTTGGTACTTGGTACTTGGTGCAACGGGCTGGTATCCGCAACTCGACGACAAAGCGCCTATTTTGCGTGTGGGCATGTTTAGTATGTTTTTATTATATTTTATTACCGTTAAGTCACACGCCGCCCGCCGCCGTGATTTCTAAAAAGAGCATTTATTTCTACTCTATAGCTAGGTTCGATTGACCAGACACTTTTATAGGAGAAAATAAAAATAAAATTATATAAAAACGTTCTGTACCTAAAATATGGTAAAATCGACGCACCCAGTAAAGTCATTGTATTTTGATAATAAAAATTCTTCTGGTAATATTTTTATCATTCCTGGAACTCGTTTCTTTTTTTGTTGTTTGATTGTTCGTTCCTACACCGGATAAAATAAGCAAGTATTTGCTTTAATAAATATACAGTCTTTTTATACGTTACTGGCCAATTGACGTCTCTTTCTACAACACCCATAAACTCTAACAAATATTTTTTTAATGTATAATACATACATTGCGTATGTATTAAACTCAATAAATCCCTTAGCGCGGTTACACACGGCGACTTTTAGCAGCGATGCAAACAGTCGCAAGTCGGCACCGTGCGATTTTAAGCAGCAATGGGAACGCGATGCAAGCGCATTTGACTGCATCGATACAAACGCGCGATTGCATCGGTACACTTGGGATTTAAAGGCGATTGCATCGAGGCAATGGCGCGTTTGTATCGATGCAATCGCGCGTTTGCATCGATGCAATCGCCTATAAATTGCAAGTGAGAGTAAGTGACAAAATATTTTTTTCAGATATCACAAAAAACCATAACCAAGTTTTAAAATATTGAAAATGTTTAATGATATTTCGGCTATGCATTGTTAGCGTAAGTTCCGATAAGTCAAACACGTTAACTAATTTTAACTGTTTTTAAAAGAGAATTTTGTGCTTTATCTTTTGCCATTTAAAACGGTTATTTGACCATTTGTCACTTAGCCGGGTTTTACTTAGTGGATTCTTAATAATTAACATAAGTACCTACCTACCTACGATAGATATGGCTAAAGTTAGTACGTACATTAATATGTCAATTTTCGTCTTAAATTGTAACTATAGTACTTGCTTTAAAAGCATCGAAGTCACGAATGAGTATACACGTGCCCGATAGGCGCTGACGAGACACGACGACGTGCAAATAGAATGTGCAATGGTGCTGTAAAACGACACTAACAATATAACTAGTTCCATGAGAAAATATGACTATTCGATATGATAACGGCGAGGAACTTGGACTACAGATGACTGAGGTGTATAGAAACAACTTAAGTGACCATAAATAGGTATTTGTAGAACAGCTATAAACAAAAATGAAAATACACATAGCGTGCATAATACCTCCCTCTGAAATTCCGGAATGATCAAAAATACACACACTATTTATAGAACAAATTATAATACAATCCTTCCGGGATTTAAGAGAAAGATAAGTCGGTTGAAGCGTCGTGACCATCGGACTGTCACTAGGTGTGTACTATGGAAATAGGAAACCCCTCACCACCTGCTTTCTTCAACCACCAGGATAACCTGGCCACACAGAACATAAGTTCTGCGGTGGCCCGTGTTTAAGTCCTTGAATCGACTCCGCACTCAGGTAGCTCGCTACAGAGACAAGATGGTGTAAATGGGGGTTCAGGGATGCTAGTTAGCTGCTAACTCGATGTGGCTGCGGTGTCTCAATATGGTCTATGCAACACTTGCTGTTATGCCCCTTGTGCCTTAATATCTGTACGAGAGAAGATCTCTACGCGGCCACGGATAGCGCAGTCAAGGTGGCTATTCAAAGTCAATATAGACCGAAAATAAACGAAACATCGACACAATAAGAAGAGGAAGGTATTATCAACCCACTGTGTATTAGTTATTTGAAGTTTATGTAAACATACTTTGCCTATACCGCTCTCCGGTTCTAATGTATAATAGCGAAATGTTTTACAAATAACAAACAGTAACTTAGGAGCTGAAAAATACAATTATTTTCACTACATTGACTTATGTTTTACATGGTATAAGAATAAGATAATTGTACACTTCGATCAATATGATCAATATGATCGTTTGTACGTTATTAATCATAGATCCTACTGACCTCTCGTGTACTTAGTGAATGCATCAAACGACAACAAACAATAGGTAAGCGTACATGAGTACATGATGTTGAATTTCTTTCTTCGATTTTATAATAATAATAATAACGCGCACACACTCATAGCCCCGCACTAGGGAAACCCTGTGTCGCGGGTGCCATGGACACACACATGGACAACGACAAATTACACCCAAACTCACGAGAGAAATAAATGTAGGCCATACAAATATTTCTCCCGGGCCGGGAATCGAACCCAGGACCTCTGCGTGGCAGTCCGGCATGGTAACCGTTCGGGCACGGAGGCAGTTTATATATATATATATAGATTTTAATTCTTTACATAAAAGACTTACTATATAGAATTCACTTGCAGTTATGGTCAGATGCCTCGAAGAAGATGTAGAGACTGCCTTTTAATATGATGGAGCTCTCGAAGTTATGTAACGTTTGGAAAGCAGCGTTTTAGAACTCTACTTTGTACGTGAGTACCATTAAACTTAATGTCTTTTAACGTAGACAAGTCCGTGCAGAACTGTGTTGAGTACACCATTTATTTAAAGTGTTAGTTAGCATCCTTCCGATTTCAATAAATGATGTGTAATGAGATTATCTAGAATATCATTAATTGTTTCTCGTCCATAAAAAATAACGTTTCAGTAAACACAATATAAATTCGTCAAGTTACGTAAGTAAGTTAAGTTAGTAGACAATATTAGATTTCTACAATACGATGCCCATGGTATCACCAAACATGTCGGCCATGTGACGTCGTTGATGTCTGTTGTATTGTATAGTATATTAATTGAGGCTAACAGTGTGAAAGAGGTTAACTCTCATTTATTTTCTACAGTATTACTTAAAATGATATTAAATTTAATATTTTTTTTATATTTGCTTTTTATATTTGTTATGCTATTTTCATGTACAGTCAAGAGCACGTCAAGCTTGACACTTTGTACTTTGGACCGTTCTTATCGTAAGCGGCATAGAGTTGGATTTAAATCTTAAGTGTCAAGCTTGATGTGCTCTTGATACTGTACATATAAAATATATTTAATTTTTTTATACACATGAAAATAGCATTCAAATGGAATATATGTATTTTAATATCATTTAAAGTAATATTGTAGGAAAGAAAATAATGTGAGTTACACCACATTTATACAGAGCGCTGATAGCCTCAATTATAGTAGAAGGGCTTTCAGGCTACTTTTTTGTATTTACTCAATTTTGGTGACAATTTCTTTTTATTTAATTATTTATAGATATCATCATGACATATTATTTAGTATTCGAGTGTAATAAACGTGAAATATTCTGTAATATTTCATAATGATATATTCCAGTAATTAAATGTTAAAAATTATCACTTTTTATTTTTTATTATACAAAAAGCTTACCTGAAAATTACTGAGAAATGTTATTATGACATTGAATGTTCAACATCGTTGGCATAACTTGACAAATTTAAAATGTGTTTTTAAACTAGGAAATTTGTATTCTTGAAGTTCTTATGAAAGGTATAACCAAAGACGAGAACCACGTGACGCAGGTAGCTCACGAATTCACCCCGACCCAATGCCATACCCTGCTGTCTTTCATGCATTTGTCCTATGACAAGGGTACACTTTTTGTTACTTCGGCAGACAGGCAGCATGACATCGTAGAGTGAAATTTATGGTCCTTTGCATCGACATCTACGTCTTACAAAATACAAACTAATTAACATTGAATTATGGATAGATTTTAATAGTGCTCATAAGACAATAGAGAAAGGTTCTCGAATGTAGAGAGAGATCAACATTATGTTACTTCGCAATGTCTCCTTACATGCTATCTACCTACTAGTAGCCAATACATAATTTCGCTCGGAAAAAAAATAGTGTAGTATTAGTATCCTGATAGTACACAAGTACTACACTATTTTTTGTCTGAGCAATTGGTGCTGGTGAGAAGTGAGGGGCAGGCATCCCAGCGCAGAGTGCCACGCATTTTATCGGAGCCCCTTGTCGCTACGATGTCAAGTGGAAAAGTTAATGATTACATTTTTTTATATATTAGTACATAAATCAATTCCAATAATCAAAAAATAGAATAAGATCATTGGTTCCATGTCTTTTTGGGTGTATTGGAGTCGGGTAATAATATAAATATAAATAATAATATCTTGCTACTGTGATAAAACATAATTATTATTACGGTATTTTTAAAATCACCGTTTATTATGTCTGGCTGTTACTACTGGTGCTCAAAACGACTATTTTTATCTTATAAAATAAGAATTTTTTTTAGTATATTTAGTTGAGATCGTGGGGAGTTGGGATTAACCCCCGCGCCCTACCGGACCGATCAAAAAAAATAAGCACGCGAGAACGGGCGAGCCGCATTCCACGACTGGGTCGACGGCACAGCCCCGCGCGCCCCTCTTCCGCGCGGTGCGCGGGGCATTTGCTGCCTGTTAGTGCTAGTGCCAGTCGCTTCGTGTGTTCGCGCGCAGTTGTTGTTACGCGTCACATTGTCGTGTTCGCTCTCTATCGTGTGCTGTGTTTACAATAGTGTTATTGTTATTGTACCAAAATATACCAGCCAGTGATCAGTGTCGGTGACGAAGTGTGGATAATTACATTGAGTAGTGTACGATAGGATTATTTGTGTGCCATTATTGTGGTCGGGAAGGAGCAGACAGCCACGGCAGGCGCCGAGCTCAGGTAGCGTTTCAGTTTTCAATCTGATTACGACTGCGCTAATCTGTCTAGCGGAAAGCAGAATCGAGGATGGCGGGCAGAGGGCAGGTGTGTCCGCCACAACAGAGCCACGTGACGGTTATCAATCGGCCGCGGCCGCTCACCACGTGGTGCGGTGGTAAACAACCGACTCGATGCCCCCCTACTCGCGGGACGCGGCGGCGCATCACTCGAGCGTTCTCTGTGCAACCAGATAGGGGGATCTGAAAAATTTCAAATGGCGGAAATTTTTCAAAATATTTTTCAGAAAATGCTAAAATATCAGAACTAAAATTGGAATAATATTCATTTATTATGTATATTTTTCTGGATAGATAATTTTCCATGACCCAACACTAGTGCCCACTCAACTTAATGAATCTACTGGATTACGCCACGCTCATGTCGTTTATTATTGTATTTACCATACTCTTTCTTCAGCTGTTTGTAGCGCATTTTTTATCTCACATCCTTCAATAACAATTTTATTGATAGTGTCATTAATAATAATAGAAAATTATTTTAATATTAGGTACCTGGGTATTTTTTTTATTCTCTTCAATTTATTATTTTATTATAACAGGGAAATGATGTCTACTGTAAACGCGCAGTTTTTTTGATATTTTATTAACCAACCAACCTTCATTCAATGGAAACTTTACGAACTCTATGACATTCTACGTCAAACTTTGTTATGAAGCCTTTCGTATCGTACCTACCTAGTTAAGTTTTATTTTGTGAATGAAATTGTAACAGTTTATAGAGGGAATGTACATTAATATGTACATAACGTAAAATAGGGACGGCATTTCAGTCAAATCAAAAACTTCCTTAGATGATTATTATTATAGTATTGTGATTGTAACCAATTGGATTTGAACTACGTTCCCAATGTATGTTTATATAATTTTTACTTATTACTGCAGCGTTAGAACCTATTTACAATATCGTAGGTATTTTAACAAATACAACATACAATAGCGCATAAATTATTAGGTATTCAAAATTACGCCTATGGACGTCACCGCCAAAATCGGAAATAAGGTTAAATATTTCTATTTTCTTAGTGTAATTTAAAACATATATTATCATTGAACGTCTCAAATTCTTTTTTGAAAGTAGGTACTTCGTACCTTACGTCATCTAGTAACGCAAAAATATGTAGTTTAAGTCGTGCCAATGTGTATAACTTTTTCATATTCATTGCATCACATGGGTAGCATCTTTCATAAAAGTTCGTAAAATAATATAAAGTACGGCCATGTAACCCTGCAGGGCACTGCAATTTATGTTTAACTTAAAATAAATTTCATTCTTATTAAACTAAGAACTCTTTTAACTATTAATATATTTATATACTAAATCAAAATATCAAATTAGTGTTAAATCAACATGTGGCTAGATATAGATAAATAATTTCGACTTGTTAAAAAAAAATTAAAGTAACGTTTTCGCGCCTTTCTCTGATGATGCTGTTGCACCATTCTTCTGCCGTCTGCTAAAAATATCGCAGTTAAGTGGCAAAATAGTTTTTTGAGATATCATAAAAACCATAAACCCGTTTTCAGAATATTGAAATTGTTTAATGATATTTCAGGTATGCATCGTTAGTGTGAGTTCCGATTAGTTGAACACGTTAACTAATTTTAAATGTTTTTAAAAGATAATTTTGTGCTCTATTTTTTGCTACATAAAACGGTTATTTGACCATTTGTCACTAGCCGCGTTTTAGTTAGTGGACGGCAGTCTTCCCAATATCTAATGACATGTTTCTTGTAGGTAGGTACCTATGTATGAATGTTAAATTATCGGTAGATAGGCATCTAGGTAGTCATTCCAAATTAAACATTTGTTTTTGCAATTTTGTTGACAAAAAATTCTTATCAATATCGAGTTCTTAGGTTTTCACGATTGTTATACATAGGAAATGAAACTATGTTTCCGGATTTAAATAGCGTATATTTGTTTTTTCAAACTAACCGACGTTTCGAGCCCTTAACAGGTTGTCTCACAACGATTCATTTTAGGTCCCTAAAATGAATTGTAATAAGAGTCATGGTAAGATCCCAGCTGTTGTTTTGTTGGTCGTCGCCGTCGGTTTGTTTGAAAAAACAAATATACGTGTTTTAAATCCGGAAAAATAGTTTTATTTCGTAAATTCTTATCAAATTAAGCCAGGTTCCTATACTTATGTATTATTTTGTTTTTGGCAGTTGTGCCTGTTCTTGTTAAATTTTAGTTTGCATGGTGTACAAAAGAGGTTAAAACTACGACTTCAATCTATAGACAAGAAAATTCACAGCATAGTTGCTGTGAATGTTCTTGTCTATAGATTGAAATCTTTAGTTTGGAACATGTAGTCATGTTAGTGTTTTGTTTTAGTGTTGATTTTTTATCAAAGAGTATCAGTACCGAGGACATACGTGACAGTCTATACCTATTGGAAATAAGCTAGGCAGCAGATAATATTGAGTGTTTACCAATGATATTTAGCCATAGTTAGGGAATTAACCTAAAGCCTCTGGCAAAATCGCTATTAGTTGCACAATACTTTTCATTTTGCTGTGACCCAAGGGCCTTCCGCATACTATTTATAATTATTATGTATATTATTAAAAAGAAAAACAAATTAAGTAAAAACAAATATAGTCGACTTGTTGGAAATATTGATGCTATGTTATATTAATTTACCTTGCGGAAAGGCTACGATCTTTCGAACGTGGAGCCTAGTCTTTTTTTATACTTTTTAAATTTATATATGGTAATCTTAGTTTATAATCATATTATACTTACTCCGTTATTGTGTAGTCAGGACACTGTTGCTTATTATCTATGATTTATGTTTTGTCTTGTTTTAACACGCGTCATTACATGCTTGCAAAACGAGATGAATTGTATGAAGACGCGGGTGGGTGGCATCCAGGCTATCATGCGAAAGCGCTGTGCTTATACGCTGCTTCGAGTGCGCGCCAGTCCAAACACCATACAGAACACGGTCACACGCCACTGGGACAACCCAGTGATGAAATATTGGCTGAGCCTACATGCATAATAAATATAAAGTATTACTAACACTAGGTTATTAAGAATTATAATTATACATTATAAGACCAGTAACTTTGGATTATTTCTGACCTGAAATATAAATTATACATTGTTTAAATATTTATTGAACAAGAGTATTAATAATAATAATAATAAGACATTTTATTCATAAGCACATTTACAATAAAATGGTTAACAGTAAAGAGTTTCGGAAATGTGGACTCTAGTGCCAATGAAATGGATGGAACCTCAGCACTACTACTGCTTTTCAGGTTCCACCTTCATACATGGACATCCGCTGCTGACAATTGTCAATCATCACAGTAATTAGAATTACATTTTAAATTTATTTATAATTTATAATTAATTTATAATTTCGATGAGCACACGAGTATATATATATATATATATATATATATATATATATATATATATATATGTAACAATACTACTACACTCAGTACACTAATCCCTTATTGTCATGCTTTGCAGTGCCGTTAAAACGATGTATTATCTCATAGCACGCTCTAAAGATAAATTGAATTTACGAAGTTAAACTCTAGATTGTTCATAATGCATTTATAAACAATAACCACGCAACAAAGTCAATAAGTGCCTGTGCCTCACTCAATACGCTTGCTTATCTGAAGATTCGTTCTAGTCTTAGTACTTACTAGATAGATTTGAATTGCTGCAAATATTCGTAAACATGTGATGCTATAAACAATAGTTCTAGCCATTTCTAATGGCTAGTTTTTTTGTTGCTTTTACCAATTCAGTTGTTTTGAACGATAAATCTTATCAGAATTGGTAATAACATGGTTCTGATTAGATAAGATTATGGGCGAAACAACGTTAGTACCTAAACGTTATTACCCAGACAACCAAGTATTTTTGTAAAGAATACCAAAATGCGATCTAGCGCTTGGACATTAAAAACATTCCTTGAATCGTTATCGATAAAACGACGAGCAACATACATATACACCTTAGAGGCTTATCAAAACAATATTCCGAAAACAACGTTTTACAGTCAACCTTGAATTAACTCCGCGATACAAGTACCTATTTACTACGTACACCTATTTACTGCGTTTACGTTTACGTTAGTGTTTCAAACTGTATTTATTCAATAATTAGTTTCATTCGAATAAGCGGTTAAGAGTTTTGTTTCGAAACTCACAAGAAACGCTTATCTCCGTAGAGAATATTTTATGTTAATTTTATCTCGTGTTGCGTTAGAAGTTCATGGCCTTAGAAGTACTCGAATAGTATTTGAATAGGAATTTGGTAAAAAGGTTCACTGTAGTGGGGGGAACGGACACACGAAATTTATATGTAAATAGTTAAATGTACGTTACAGGTGAATATTGAATATACCTAATTATTTGTTTTTACATTGTTAATAGGTATCTGCTATGTACGATGTAGATTTGTCAAGTTGTAATTAAGCTAAAACGTAGTCTACATACATGCTGGAAGGCATGCAGAATGTGACTTGAGTTTTCGTAGTGCGCTTCCTCCTTGCGTTTCGAGTTCACTAGGCGCGGGAGTAGGGGTGCAATGTTTTGGATGGCGAGTGCGCGCCTCGCGCCCCTTGCGCCGTCGCACTGGCCCTGGGGCTGATCGATCGTGCTGCGCTGCGCTGCTCTATTATTTATTACCAAAATATGGCGGCGTGGTGCGGCACGCGGTCGACGACCTCGATCGGCACTCACGCTGCGTAAACAACTCTCAGAATGCAGCGCGGGAAACGGGTCCCCTCTCTACCTGCCGGGCGCGCGTACCCGCAGGACCCTTGTACGCCTCGCTCGCTCTCTACAAAGGATGCCTCATGCGCTCGCTTTCGCGGTAATTTTAGCTTCCACGCACGGGACGACTGACGCCACTCCATGCGGACTCCACGTGTAAACTTTTCAATGAGTGCACACGAGTTGTTG